ACACCGGGAGCAACTAGAGTACTTTTTTGCAAAAGTAAAGATACGTATTTCGTGGAAACCACTTAGAATGAAGATACATGAAGTCAAAAACCAACTCCGAACACAAAGAGTGAGGTTACGCCAACAAAGTGACAAACGGGGAAAAGACAAAATAGGGAAAAGGACGAAAAGTGAATAATGTCGAAAAATGAAAAATGTGGAAATGACTCGGTCCTCAAAGGAAGTTGTCAATCCAAAGAAAAGAATCTTAGAAACCATTTCCGAGCACTTAAGACGACACTAAGCGATGAGAAACTGAACTCAGAAAAGAAATTTCAACGAAAAAAATTCATCCGTAAAATTCTGAGGAAAAAGGAAAGGAAGGAAATGATCGGGTCATTACAAGAGGAGACGTAGAGAGTGGCTCTATGCGTAGTTGTGTCACTAGAGCCCCAAATGATCACAAGGAGTGGCCTTGTATCAGGGATAGATGACCAACTCTCTTCTCGTGGTACTAGGGAGCAGCCCTGGGCGGATTACATTAACTTTTTGTGATGGAAATGGGATTTTGGGAAGTAAGAGGTGTCAGTGACATTAGCATTGGCATTAGCATTACATGACACTTCATTTTATTATCTCATATGATATGTTGCTTTCCTAAGCCTGTATGATCCCTTTATCTTTTATCAGTTCTTTATTTGGATTCACGGAGGTATTAAGGAGTGCGCTTTAAGTAATTCCTGCTGAGCTGTGGTTACTCATTCCTATTTTATTCATATCTTTTCAGATCATAGCATGGATGGTGTGGAGGGTGTTCCTCCTCAACTGTAGACAGAGTCGGGGCTGCTGTTGTTATGTTATATTCCGTATAATAGTCTATGTTTTGTATGATATTTCTTTAGAATATTTCTGGTATGTAATAAATGTTACTTTAGACTTTAAAACTTTAAAGTTGTATTATTTGCATCTTATCTATTTATTTTCAGTCTTGTTTTTGTAAAGGGAGTAGATAGGTGGACGTGTAGTGGAGACAGGTTACAGGGATATTTATTGATTTTGAAACTGTGATTGTTTATGTGTTGTGTTCACAATCCGGACTACGGTCTAGGGGCGTGACATACTGCTACATTGAATTCAGACGATTGAAGAATAGAAGTAAAAGTGATCGCACTTTGAAAGGGTTGGAGCATTCGAGGAGTGTTGTCTAATCTACCTACAACTCTTCTACAAATATCAAGCATAAGCCTGAGTTCAAGTTGCTGTTGGACGGGGAGTCGCAAAGCCAGAGGATTGTCAGCAATTGGTGTTTGGTAAAACGATAGGGTGTGAGTCAGAGTCAAAGTTCAGTATACTTTGTTTCAAGCATAGTGGATTGGTTTACTTTTGATTGTACAGTCCACAAAGTTTTTTCCATACAAACAGTTGACGTATTTTATCAACTGGGGTTTCCTCACTAAAAAATCCTGGTGTCATCTCTGACTTTATACTTTGCTTTATTTTATCTGCATGTGATTAATTGTTTAATTGCTAAAATAAGTAAAGTTGGAAAAGACACATATTTGTTTTAAAATTATCAAAACTTTCTAAATATTCCGCTGCGTACGACTCACATGATATTGTTATGATGCACCCTATTTTGATTTGGCAGCCACTTTGTTATTTCATTTTTTTTCCCGCTCATTATTCACAGCATGAAACATTCTTATGTCTACTGTTGAATTATTTGAAATCATAAAACAAAAATTATAAAAGAATTTTAGGCTCAATTTGGTAGAATGGAAATGGGAGGAAAGGGAAGGGAAGGTGATGAAGGGTAATTAAAAAATTATGTTTGTGTAAAATTGGTGAAAGGAAAGGAAAGGAGAGGGAAGGGTTTGGAGGGTTAACACAAGGCTTCAACAGTAGATTTCTTAACCTCCCAAAAATGGGCGGAAACGGAAGGAAAGGGAAGGAAATGCTTGGTGAGTGATTTCTGATACCAAATTTGCCCTTGATTACACACAAAATCCATACGTACAAGTTAGCAATTGCAGAGAGAGAGGGGGGCAAGCTTAAGACTTGAGAGAAAGAGGGCCGGCTGAAGCTTGTGAATGGCGAACCCGAATTGGAACAGCGGGCGATGGAAACTGAAAGATCGATATGGGTTTTGATTTTTGAACAATCTGAAATGATGCCGATGTGGGTTTTGAACTTTGATTCTTGCAAACAAATATATAAACTGAAATATATGGGTTTTGAACTTTTGATTCTTGTAGTAGTTTGCAGTTGGAGAGAGAGAGAAAGGGGGGGGGGGGGGGGGGGGGGGTTAAGTTTAGAGTTGAGAACGATAGAGATGGAGGCTGAAATGATTTGCCCTAAAATAATTTTTGCTTTTCTGGTGGCCGATCCATGGGCCTAGACAATATATATATATATATATATATATATATATATATATATATATATATATATATATATTTATCTTTTAAAATATAAAAGGGCATAATAGTAAAGTTATTAAAATTATTCTCTTTCCTTTCTTTTCCTTTCTTTTTCCAAACATAATTTTATCCTTCCCTTTCTTTTTCCAAATATAATTTTATCCTTCCCTTTCTTTTCCATTCATTAATTAACTAAATACGATCGGAGATTAAAATTATCTTTCTCTTCTCTTTCATTCGTAACTAATATTAACCTTCCCCTTTAAACCCACCGTACTAAACATACTCCTATAGAGTTGGTGCGTTGTAAGAAGCCTTCACGTTTCTTGATGCATGAACAACTTTAAAATAACCTAAATTTTAATTATGTTAGTTGATATTGACCTATTGAGTGATATTGTAATGATGTATCATTTTTATTTCTCTTTCACTTTTTGCTGAATGCATTGATATCTCATTTTGTCAATCTTGTACGAAATTATTCAGTTATTAAATTTGTTAAAAAATATATCATACCCCAATTAGGGTTCAATCAACTAAATCCTTTATTCTTGATTTTTTTATATTTTGTGGGTCATTATAAATGTATCACCTATTATTTTATCTTTTATTTCCTTTTTTTCGCTCATTTATCTTTTCTTTGAAACAATTCAGAAGAAATGTTTCTTCTCAACAACTTACATATCATTTCTATAGTCATATTAGGTGAGACATTATTTCTTGGCTTTGCCAAGTAATTAGTAGCTTGATTAATTTTAGATAATAGTAGATAGAAATAACTTGTAAGGGGTCCTATTGAAACCAAAAAATATAGGCTTTCATGTCATCCACATCAGAATAAATAGAAAAAAAAAATTATTTTTAAAAAAGCCTTCTAATCTTCCAATTACGATCTGCCTATGTGTTTAAGAATAAAGTCTCTAGGACTTAAAATGCGTAAGGCCAAAATAATATATATATATATATATATGATACAATTTTGATATGTTTTTCTTTTTATTTATATAAATGTTTGCGCAAAAATGTGTTAAATAACTTGCAAGTTAAAAAAAATGCCTAACAACATTTAGGACTTTCTACTCTCTGTAAGAGACATGATTTATCTTCTGGTGGAACATTGTATTGTAAATATATAAATACTTTTTCCATTTTGTGTACATATTCACTATTTTTTTTTTCTTGGTCTAGTAGGTTTTCAATTATAATTCATTATAAATGTGTAGTTCAATTGAGAGATTTGATTTCATTTGCCTAATTACCACTTATCATTTTCTTTTCCATGCCATTAAGTAATGATTCACTTTTCCATTTTTCCTAAAATTTTCATGCACATCAGTATGTATTTGGCTAATTGATATCTTTTTTTTTAACTACAACTTTTTTGAAGACTTCATATTGGAGATATATATATATTATTGCAAAATTTAATATATTTAATCAAAATTTTCAATACATTGCACGAAGGGATCCAAAGCAATTTCTGAAAAATTATAACATTTATTTTTCTTCACATGAATCGCATGTTGATTTTATTAGTATATTTTAAAATATACATATATACACAAACTAAGCCTCTCTCTCACATGCACGAACAGTAGAGAACCTGAAAATGAATTCGGTTATATATGGGTCTATACTCTATGTATCTCATCTGAGAGATGTGTGTATAACTGTTCATATATATAGATATATATGTGTGTGTGTGTGTGTCTATGTATGGACAGGGATAGATCCAGACAAGCATGTGAGTGGGAGCGCCTTTTAACCAAAAAAAAAAAAAATTGTGAGGATAATAGTAAAATTTTTCTATGATTTTAGGTTGGATAAAATTTAAATAAAAAAAATCAAACTTAATAGGTATAAAATACAAAAAAAAAAAAAAAAAAAAAATTTGAGGGAGAGAGTTGGCCCATTGGGTCGCGAAAGAAAATCATCTCCAAAAATAATAGTCATGTCTCCTCAAATATTACATTATTAAAATATTGTGATGTATTTTGAAAAAAAAAAAAAAACAACAAATATTGTGATGCATAACTGAACATCATAACATTTTATTTTTGTAAGTTACCTCACTGTCTGGACCGGACACGGTGGGTGGGTGCTGGGCAGTGGGGCCGGAGAACAGGATGGGATACGAATTTCTAAAAGTACTAACCATTTATATACATGGGTCTATATATAACCTTGTTCAAAGGAGAATGTGTGTGCAGGGACGGAGCCAGAAAAAAATTTCAGGAGTGCATTATAATATTGTATATTATACCATATATTTATAATATAATGTACATATATATAAGTCAATATTTATGAGTATATATATATAAAAAAAGATAATGATATTTTTAGAATGAAATTAATTTATAGATATAGAATATAAGGATTAAAGAAACAATTTAGGATAAAAAAATATGAAACATATATAGAATTCTACGGAGAATGAGAAAATTAAGAAGGCACTTTTCATATTTTCATTAAAAAACATATATATTATTATAAAATATATATAGAATATAAGAGAGGAAGAAAATTTAGGGGGGCACGTGCCCCTCTTGATCGTTAATTGGCTCCGTCACTGTGTGTGTATATCTGTATCTATGTACGTATGTATCTTTGTGGACGGTGGGAGAGGTTGGTGGGTGATGGGCAGTGGGAACAGAACATAGTGGCATACGAATTTCCTTAACAATAGTACTAGTACAGCTAAGCTTATCTATCCAAAGAAAATGAAAGCCAACTACACCTTCTTGGTCCTGTTCTCCAATTCTCACGCTCTCCACTTCCAGGTCTGACCATTTACTCTTCATCTTGTATTTCCTGTGCATAGCTTCAGCTAGCAATGGATCCAAACACTACTACAACTGAAGTGGCATACCAATTCCTTCCATATTTCCGCGCATACAAAAATGGAACCGTTGAGAGGTTTTTCGGCACCGATATAGTCCCCACATCCACCGATCTTCAGGCCGGGGTCTCGTCCAAGGATGTCCTAATTGTACCAGAAACCGGCGTCTCGGCCCGTCTCTTCATGCCTGCAACTATTTCTAGTACCACCACCAATCATGTCAAGCATCCACTCTTGCTTTACTTCCATGGAGGAGCATTTTGCTTCGGATCGCCCTTCTGTTCCACCTATCACAACTATCTTACTTCTCTCGTTGCTAAAGCTAATGTTGTGGCGGTGTCTGTTGACTACAGATTAGCCCCGGAGCACCCTCTCCCCGCGGCCTATGAAGATTCTTTCGATGTTCTGAAGTGGGTAGTTTCACACTATAATGGGCTCGGTCCCGAAGAATGGCTTAACCACGGTGTTGATTTTGGGCGGGTTTTTGTGGCGGGAGATAGTGCGGGAGCCAGTATCGCACACAGTGTGGCGTTGCAAGCTGGCGTGGAAGATTTGGGATTGGGGGGCGTCAAGCTGTTGGGTGCTTGTTTTGTTCATCCGGATTTTGCAAGCAAAGAAGAGGGTCCGACCGGGGCATGGTTTTTTGCCTGTCCGATCACAATCGGGTCGGATGATCCGAGGATAAACCCGGGAATTGACCCGAGGCTTCCAAAGTTGGGATGCAGCAGGGTCCTAGTTTGTGTGGCGGAGAAGGATGGTTTGAGGAGGAGGGGTTGGCATTACTATGAGACGTTAGGTAAGAGTGGGTGGGATGGTGTGGTGGATATCTTGGAGACACAAGGGGAAGACCATGTGTTTCATCTGTTTAACCCAACTTGTGCAAATGCTGTAGCCTTGTTGGAACGGTTGGCTTCTTTTATGAATCAAGCCTAAAACCTGATAAAGGTGTTTTCGAGTTCATCTCTTTAATTTATTTAAAAAATAAAAAATAAAAAATTATGAATAAAAAATAAATAAACAATATCAGTGTGCCTTTATTTTTTAAGTATCACTTGTATGAATTGTGTTCATCTCTTCGTCTAATAGCAGATTTTGTCAAGATTATTATTCTACTCATCTCTTGAATATGACACAAGTTGTTGGACATCATAATCTATTCACATTAGTTGTTGTTTGTTTATTATAAGTTTTAAAAAGGATAGAAATATTGTTATACGTGGTCTATATAGGTTGATACGTAATTTTTTTTTTTTTTTAATTTAATATGCAATTCATATTAATTAATTTTATCCGAATTTGTTACACTACAATCACAAATAATACCGTAATCATTATCAATACTACAAGTTTCTACAAACCATGAGAACCTTTCATTTCTCTCCTCGTGAAAAACATATCTATTTTTCTCGTTTCGTTTTTTTAAGCTCTTTTATTTCTTCCTCGCTAACAAGAAAGGAGTAAAGGACTACTACAATAATTTTATTTATATTTATATTTATTTATTTTAAATTCCAACCAAAAAAAAACCGTACAACTCTTGATGTTCTCGAATGCAAGTCTTGGTCAAAACCACCGTTGACTTGGTTTTGTCCTTTGAGCTTTTGTGGCCACAATACTCTCACAAAATGGGAAACACGTGTTCCTTTTTCTCATTCTCCACCACATATTAAAGTGGTGTGTTTTTTTTTTTTTTTTGGTTAAAACATATTAAAGTGGTGTTCCTTTTTCGTTTTTCTCATTCTCCACCCAGCTTTTGCGGCCCCAGCATTCTCATAATGCATGTCTCTCATGTAACACATATACATACATCGAATGTAACACGTTATACCATGTACTGTAATACCTGTGTAACAAATTTACATACTTTTTTCGTTTCATTTTAAAAAAAAATCGTTACTCTTACAAATTGAACTAACACAATTTTCAAAACATAATACTATTTTTAAGACGAAAGTAGTACAAAATATAACTCTCATATAACATATCACATGGTGGTGTAATGCTGTAATATTCCAAAATTATGAATTCAATACATTGTCTTATTGTATTATCAATTTAAAGTTATTTTCTGTTATTAAATCGACCGGAAGGACTGTACTCCTAAAACATCATTCGGTTAAGATTTGGTGATTCAACATAAAAGCAACAAAACAATCACATTTCTCAAATTTTCTCTCATACCTGCTAGGCATTCATAAACTATTAAAAAAATTCAGTCAAGCTTGGGAATAGAAAATTGGTAAATTATTATGAGATTTGGATCCGTGAAGACGACCTCCCCAGATTAAATACCAAAATTACATTTGTTTCTGAGTAATATAATATATATTAGATATTACATTCATAATATACATATATGTATAATATAAGAAAAATTATGTGATAATAGGCAAAGCTTTGGACACCTCAATTATCGAAAAAAAAAAAAGAAGAGTTATATGAAAATATATATTTAATTAAGTACGTATTTTAGATGAAATTATCATATCATGAGTGAAACACAGGAGAATAATTCTAGAAATAAAAATAAAAATGAAAAATAAAAAAATTACAAACATTTTTCAACGCGTGCGAAGCACATTGATTCTACTAGTATAGATAAAACTCTGGATATAGGTCCCTGGCTTCAGATCAAATCCATGTGCAGTGAAAGAAACAATCACAATATATATGAAGTGCTTAAAAGTAGTTGTATTTGGATAGAATTATCTTTTAAATGAATGATGGATCCTTCTGAAATGAGTTTTTCAGCTTTGTTTTCTGTACATTTTGCCTTTTGTTACCGGTAAGTTAAACAAAAACCAGAAAAAGAGTGAACTAGTCAACCACTAGTTGGACTCCAATGTAGTTGTCAAAAACAATATTGTTTGAGAAATGAGAAGTGAAGAATTTAAACCTTCCTTCAGTCCGAGATTCGATTGCTGAACTGATTACAATGGTGCTCCAGACTAAAGAGCTTCAAGCACTTCCTTTCTCTTCGGCTGTTGAAAAACTTATGCAATTGTTCTTGACTTGAAGAGATTTCCGACGTGATATTGAGAACTTCTCGCCACCTTTAAACAGCCTTCACCTTCAAGACGTTTACCTCCATCTCAGCATGACTCTTGCCTTTGGGAGATCATCAGCAACGACGATTGCTGAAACCATTCAAGGATTAAAACATACTATTCTTTCGCTTTATGGGGGATAAAATGAGCTGAAAAAGTCTATCAATAAAACTGGATGAGTATTTGCTATAACGCTACTAATAGTAGCCACACTTTTTTTGTCTTCAACTTCTTGGTGGGTCAACCTTCACCTTGTACTTAGTACTTGATGCCTGTGGTTTGGAGACAATTGCAGGTATCTAAAGGGATTATTCCTGTCCCCGAAGGAGATGGGGAAACCCTCTTTACCCAAAAAAAAAAAAAACAGAGAATGTTTTAACTAATTAATTATCTGAGATGAGGAGGTAGTTTTTCTACATTGTAGAAAATTTGTTTTCCCAAAGATGCCTATTTTAATTTGATCTAAGCATAGGATCGTGAGGGTCCTATCATTAGCATTAGCATTACCATGTCATTGGCTTGGCTTTACATATATATGATCCACAATAACGACAAATACTTCCACTTTCCACCATTCTAGGTTCCTATATGGGTTAAATATTTGTTATTTGCAACCAAATCAATAATTTTTTTTTTCCAGAAAATATTAAAGTGAAAACAACAGGGCTTCATCAGATTGTGTTCTTATCACAAGAATTGAAAGTCACGGTTTTAGCAAATCACAAATTTCATTACCCATGACTTAGCAAAACATGTTCTGAACAATTTCTAAATTTTCAGTTACTTTATACCACATAAAGACAAGTGTAATAAGTAGGCTTCATTCAACTCGATTATAACAACTTTGAACTCGGCTATCCTCCCAAATTCAACGGATCATTAAAAGTATGGTTTCTGTTACCATAGTTTTTTTATATGGTAGTAAAGGAATGGGGCAACATCCAAAAGAGAATTTCATCTCAGGCACACAACCTCCCCTTAATTTTCCCCCTTGACGATGGTTGTATCGGGCCTCTTACAGCACCCCATAGTCCGCTACCAGGTACATGCAGTCCCCGGTCAGGAAATCCCAGGGAGTGGCCCCAGGGGAATTCGAACTCCCATCCTCCCAAGATGTGAAGTGAGAGCTTTACCATTAGGCAAATCCTCATGGGGTTCAAAACCTCCCAATTTGACCCTTCAATATGTTAAATGTGTGTGTGTGTGTGTGTGAACATATATAGAGAGAGAGGGGAGCTAATTCTTGAATAAAAACTTATAAAAAAAATTATGACAAGCTATAAAAATTGCTTCATCAATTGATGCAAGCCAGCAAAACAGTAGTTGAAATAGAAATCCCCAAATATAGAGGCATAAATATTTCGGAGAAAGGAGGATAAAAAACAAAACCAACCCTTGAAATACACATACCTTGGTTCCAGCTATAATGGTTCCATTGAGGGGATGAGTGGCACATGCAGTAACACTCTCAGATAAGGGAATAAATCTGTTTTGCTTATGCTGGCTTTTTTCACCAGGAATGCTTTGCATATCCTCACTGCAGCAATGAAACATGTAGGGATTACCCTAAGCAGAAGAATAATTAAATGAAAATAAAAAACCGCAACTACATGAGGTTTTACTAAACATATAAGTTCTAAAAGCAAAACTGAGAAAGAGTAATTATTTCCAAGAAACTGATGAAATGATAGCTAAAATGAACTAATGGAGGTCTAGATTTGCATCCAAACTCTTATAAACAGAACAGAAACAAAAATCATTTTGCTGGATCTATAAATCACAGTTATACATCCCAGAAAGAACAGATGCCTATGCAATATAATTGTACCAGGGAGTTTCTTACATGTAATCCACATGGCAAGGAGAAGTGGAATCTGGATAAAAATCTAAAAGATGAATTCCATTATGGGTTGATGATCCAGCTGCATAAATCTGCACTCAGAGACATCACATAGAAGAATTATAATTGGCTAAACTGAGTTACATTCATTGCTAATTTCATATAAATCTGTAGAAATAACTATGCAAGGAGAAATTATCTTTAAACCAAAAAGGAAAATGCTGGAATACGTACTACTTAAAATATTGGAATGACTAATGAAGGAGTTGGCACCCAAAAATATATGAATCAACAGTAAGGTCTTAGTCAAAGTGCTTATTTATCGTTCTTTATTCAAATTTCTCTTCCTAGAAGGTGCACTCCTTCCAAGTGAAATTTGCCATACTTATGCAGACGAGACAAACTAATTCTTGCCTATGGTGGCTTAACTAATGAGTCACTTGCCTATGGCCACGTAGTGCAAGAATTATGAAATGGAGGTTCAAACCAAATTACTCAATATATGCTTTCTTTCCCAGGATTTTCCATGTTATCAGAAAGGTGAAGCTCTATTCCACCTGGTGAATCTGGCATTATTCATGTAGACTATAAATACTGGTTCTTGCATATGGCGGTAAGAGTCAAGACAAATCGTGTTTTTCATTCTCTTCATTTAAATAAATTTCTAAGTATCAAGCTAAGGAAATAAATATGGAATAAAATTTGATAAGGATTTGGAGTCCTAGATTGAAACTAGTCAGAGAACTAGTGGGGCCCACAGCTAGAGAGATGATTCCCTATAAGATCTCATACATCGGCTATCCTACACAACCTTTGCAATTATTACAAAGTCAGAGACAAAATGAGAAGAGGAGGCAATCATCTCCTTGTTTGTGAAGCTGTACTGCGAGTAAAGTCAAAGGTAAATCAAGGAGGCAGAACATTTGGACTGCAAAAGGAGGACTAAAGGAGAAAAATCAGAGTGTTCTCATGAAGTAACCAATCTACCAATTCGTTTCAAGGTATAACGTTCTTTTAAATATTAATTTGATGAAATCACATGAAAAGATGTAAGAAATTTTTAAGAAAACACTTTTGTTTCCTTAATCCCAACTGAATATATGCATTGTGCTTTTACTTATCACTAAAGCAAACAAGTTGTCCATATGAAATGAAATTGTGCAAATGCAACAAGTTCAATATTAAAAATTAACTAATTTTTAGAAAACATTAAGAAATATTTAGAAACAACGAACACAATTAGTAGTTGCAATTTATTATGTGTCCAGTGATCTTTAACTGATGATAGGACTTTTGATATGTGAGTGCTACTATACATGCAATTTAGATGATTTGGGAGTTGATGTGTAGACCTAGAGGCAGTGAACAAGTCTAATCTGCTCTTTTGATTGACTGTAAACTTAAATACTTACCAAGTTAGATATTAATCCGACTTAAACATCAATCATGCACACATGTAGCTGACAGTAAAGGGCAAAAGAAAAAAGACAACCATATTTTTAAGTGGTAACCCTAAACAAGAAAAATCCACGGGACCTAGTCCCGAGCAATCAAACTACTAATTTGAAAATGTTACATCTAAACTCTAACTCTGTCTTACATCCAAAACACTCGTAAAGACTCAATTGTTGACCTTCTCAGACTTACGACTGGTTTGGCACCCAGTGCCTTTAAGCCTAGTTACTGCCAGTGCCTAAGCACTGATCTATCAACGCAAATATCTCCAACGATCTGTCCTCTTCAATGGTGATTACCTGGTCAACCTAACCTACATCTCCAAAAGTACAGTACATGCTAATAAAAGTTCAGCCAATTCAGATTAAACATTAAATCTCAACGTCACTTAATCCAAAACACACAGTTGCATAGGTTTGTCAGGTGTTTCTAATATTGTGAAGATAAAGCACAATTTAGGGTTTTTTTTTTTTTTTCTCCTTAAATAAATAAATAAATCTTTTGTGTTGTTATTTCTTGATTTCTCTAAAAAAAACTCTCTTAGAAACCCTATTCCAAGTCCGTAAACTAGTTCATGATGAAATCAATTTGGAATAGGTAAGTTAAAGTTCAATTTGAAGTTGGAAACAACTGGAAATTTCACAACTCAGAGAGTGTACAGCAGCAAGTGTTAGGAGAAATGTGATGCAAAGCTAAATTGACTAATTTAATCAAGTTCAAAACCTAGTTCATGGGTAATTCAACTATCTATCCATTAACCAACCTATATCCTAAATCTTTTATGCTGTGTTTGGTGTGCAGGAATGGAATGGAATGGCCATTCCAACCATTCCTTTGTTTGGTATGCAATTTAAAGTGGAAATGGTCATTTCATTGGAATGATAATCCATTCCACAACTATACCTATGGAATGGCCATTCCATTCCCAAGTAAATTTTTTTTAAAAATCAACTTTTCTAAAAACCCTCATGTTACAAGTCCAAAAACCACCACTACCTTCCACCACAACCACCTCCGCCTTTCACCACCACCACCACCGACTTCCACCACTACCACCGCCTTCCACCACCACCACCGCTATCGACGTTCACCACCGCCCACCGCTTTCAACCACCACGGCCATCGCTTTTCACCACCGCCACCACCTTCCACCACCGCCATCGCCTTTCACCACCGCCACCACCTTCCACCACCGTCATCACCTTTCACCACAACCACCACCTTCACCACCACCACCTTCCACCACTACCACTGCCACTGCCACTTCTTATCACCACCACTATCGCCTTCCACCACCACCACCACCGCCTTCCACTGCCTTCCACCACCGCCACCGTCACCGCCTTCCACCATGCCACTGCCTTCCACCACCACTGCCGTCACCTACACCACTATCTCCTTCCACCACCACCACCACTACACTACTGCCACCGCCTTCCACAAACATCGCCGCCACCACTGCCTTCCACCATTACCACCGCCGCCGCCTTCCAACACCCCCACCTACACCACTACCGCTTTCCACCTCCACCACCATCCACCACCGCCACTGCCACCATTTATTTTTAAAAAAATTATAGAAGAATGTCATTTTGTTAATTTAATATATTTGTTACTAAAAGGATATTTTGGAGAACTCAATCTGAAATTTATTCCATTCTAAATTTTAAATTGGTCCAACCAAACACTAGAGTGGTTATTATCATTCCATTCCTATACATTTCATATTTACAACCAAACAATAGAATGAGAATGGTCATTCCATTCCATTCTTATTCTCATTCCATTCCCATTTGCATTCCATTCCATTCCTGCACACCAAACGTAACATTAAGGTCTCACTTACTTTTCCCTAAGCTGTGATTGGACCCTATATGTGTTACATGGACTCTCCTATTCCTCTTAATGTGCCTATATCAACACAACATTAAGTCATGAGTGTTGGACCGTTAGTACGTGTTGAAGGATTTATATATTTTAAGTAACACTCTCTCTCTATTGGAGTAGATGGTTTTTAAAATGGTATCAGAGCCAAAGGTCTCGAATTCAAACCTCATTGTCACCCTGAAAATTAAAACTGAAACACATGTTGGACCAAATAAAGGCCACACGTGAGGGGGCATGTTGAAGGATTTATATATTTAAGTTACACCATCTCTAACAACTTAAGCTTTTGGAGTAGATGGTTGTTAACATTATGGATATATGTCTGGCACATGTACACAAATCGAACACCTAAATACTCAACATGTGGTGGTGAAAGAAGAAGAAAAGCTCAAATTTGATAGCGAAGAAGGGATTCTTACTTTTAGGATTGGAATCTCCTTTTATTCACTACATTTCATTTAATTAAAATTTTTACTGAGTGTATTTTTAAAGAATAATAGCATCATAAATTATCCTATTATACAACATATTAGTTTTTAAAAGAAAAATGTGTCCACATAGCCACATATCCATGGCCAAGTTTGGACACATTTTAAGCCAAGTCCTCGAATCTAAGATTTGGAAATAGGGGGCGCGGTAATTAGAAATGCACCTGCACCCAATGCATATACTGGAGTCCATATAACATAGGATCTCATGAAGCGAATTGAAATAATTTTCGATGTAGTTTCACAAGACATCTTTAAGCCTAATGCCTGCTATTGCGGCTTTTTCTAAATTCGCCTTGCAGGCGTCTTCATCATACATACAGATGTCTAGCCCTTCGTTGTGACAGAAAAGGCAAATTTTGAGCTTAATGCTCACAGACGTCTACTATAATGGGCAAGATGTCTTGCTACATGCCAACTTATGCATGATCGCGCAACCAAACACGGCTCTTTGTGCTGTAACGCTCGCTTGCTTTTTGAGGCTATAGATAGAAGGTCCTTAGCTCAATAACAGAGACCATACACTACTATATTCTAATCAGGGTAAATTTTGAATATTTTTTAATATTCTTGCTGATCCTTCCAACCTTCATACTCTATAGATGAGCTTTGAGCTTTCATCACTTGTTATATTCATTACTCTAGAGAGAGAGCTTTGATTTGTAATATCTATCCATTGAGGGATATCTTGTACTCAAACTCTTACCTATATTGAGATTGTTGTAAAAGGGTTGGTGAAACCTTTGAAGACTAGGTGAGGTACTCACTTAGCAAAGAGATACAAGCTTGTGAAGCTTTGTAAAGGTTGCTTTCCACCCATGAAGGAAAGTTAGAAAGGTTTTCTCTCCACTTGTGAAGGAGAATGAGATAGTGGATTTTGGGAATCCTCAAGAAATGATCTTTAAGGCGTGGACGTATAAGAAAATGGGATTTTATAAATTGGAAAGCATAAAAAGAACTTAGTTTGTGTGGACACACTTCAATATAGTATATGAATACTTATATAGAGATAAAATATACAAGGAAATTAATAGCTTGCCTTTGTAGACCAACTTCAAGTGTGGATCTCCTTCAACCTCCGAAATTTGAAATCTCCCTTTTTCTTTGTTCTGCTTGCTCCTACCACCTTCCTTGCCCAAACAAATCACCTATATGACCCATGTATGAAATCTCTAAGCCTAGGCTTATAGGAGTCTTAGATAGAAACTGTGTATAAGAGTGTATACATCTATGTCTTGTAGAAAATATATATCTCTAATGTAGAAGAAGATGATGCCTTAGGGTTTTTTCAAGATAATACCTTAGGACTTCCCAAAGCACTCTCTACACTCTTTTGGAGTGCCCAAAGCACTCTCTACACCTAACACACTAAATCCACTCTCTCTTGCTTAACTTTCAAGGATGGGCTAGAGGTGAGGATCTTATATGGGCCTAAACCCTCATTGGCTCCAATGGGCTTGACTAATTGGCCCAGCCATCTCATGGCCCCAATTCAAGTTAACCCATTAATTATCCTTAATACCATTATCTAAGAGTAATTGAACTCCAATTTGAGAACGGTAAAACCACCATGTTAATTTACGAAATAACCCCTCCACGTATAATTAGCCAATAAACAATAAATTGCAATCAATCTAATTGCATAATTAATCCTTTATTTTTACTCCTTGATTATTCCCATTCAATCACATAAAATTCCTTTTGATAAAATAATATATATTTGATAAAAAAATATATACAAAAACCATTTGATAACCACACCAAGCACTTGGATTTACCGTGATCAAACTAATGACCGTAAAAATAAATATACCAGCGTAGATGTAATCTTGAGAGAATGTTCCAAATTAAATATTTATTGGCTACCCAACGTACCCGAATCTTAGGCCCTAGGGCCCACCAAATAAGTCAAAGCACCCACTAACCAAGGCAAAAGTCCATAGCTCTCTCATACTTGAGAGCCAAATCGTTATAATACTAATAAGGAGAATATTGCTAGGATGGCTATCGCAATCTCTCAACTTATCGTCGATCCCATTCAAATTCTTTGCAGATAGAGAGTCCATCCTCTATTGTCGAATTAGAGCACATTTATGATAATGCAGTGCATCCATGATTCATTGTGGCCTATGCATGAACACCCATCATCATTAACCTTCTCTAGAGACCTCTTAGAGGCAGGAAGATATTCTTTCTCTTGGGTTTGGCTCCTGCTTGACTCTTAGCACTTGGACTAGGGATTGGTAAAGGAACGCAAACAAGCGTATCAACACTTGGACTAAGTGTAAGGGATTAGTTCATAAAGCACTAAAACCATAGTTTATATAGATAAAACGTCTATCACAATCCATTTAATTTGCTATATAGAGAACAATCCCAACAGGACGTAGGTGGGGGAGTAAAACCTGGTGTCATTGAGTTTGCATTTCTCTAACCCTATCTCTTTATCTTTGAGTTTTGCATTTGTTGTTGTATGTACTTTTGCTAAACTCTTGTGCACACCGAGTGTTTGATAAAAGTCAAAAATCTACTATAATTTGCCAAAAGACCCACTCTTGGGCTATTGTTTGGGCAACAAAGAGTTATCTTATTAAATTAATATTTCAAAATCTCCTCTTTCCTTTCACTCAACAAAAACAAAAGATAGGGACACCTCCCTTCCCTAGAGATGCCTCTTCCATCTTTCCTTCACTTACATTCCTACTACCAAATGGACTATTAGTACTTAAACTCTTGAAGCCTCTATTCAAAGGCATTTTGCAAATAATCAGCGATATAGAGATTATCATCTATTCTGTCTAGCTAATACAGTTTTGGTACATCAATGGCACCGCAAAGACAAAAACTAAACACAAAGAATTGCAGCCTTTACTAATCATCTTTCCTCAAATGATCACGTGCTTCACATGAGCATTTGAGGAAAGATTATCAAACCGTCCATGATTAGTAAACAACAGCAATGAATTTTGTATACTCCATAAAAAAGAAAGAAAACAATAGACGTGTATATTAACAGCATCAACACATTATAATAAAGAAATTTTACATTGAGTACACATATTATAAAAAAGCAGGGAGATTGACGTGCTAACAAACAACATGACAATAAGAAAATTACTAGAAGACCATATATTGCAAGACAGGTAAAGACATAATAAAATAAGGTAAATGTAGTGACTAAATTATCTTACTGAATTAATTGGTAACCATGACGGTTTTCTCAAGTATGATAGATTGGACGAATCATTTAAGCCATCCCTAATCCCTCAAATAAACAATAGAATAGTAATTAGAAATGGAATTAAAAGTGCTAATGATTCTAATTTAACAACAATGTCAGATACAAGTAATCAGTTATACTCACAACCAAGACGGCGGAGGGCAATGAATATGCGTCACTTGCAAATTATGGATATCTAAAACACCCGACCTAGAGAAGTCAATAACCATAGAACAGGCAAGTTAGTATAACATCTTCAGAAGAAGCAATCATCTGAAAATTGGGTGATGCAATACAACAAATGTAATCTACTGGCATCTTGCACCAAATTTTTCTAATTGGTTGCATATTTATTGATATAAGTTAAAATGGTTGAGATGTGTGTTGTGTTATACTAATTTGCAAACATGTTATATGGACAAAAAAGGAACGAAAAGAAACATGAAAGCTTTCTCATCTAGAAACATGTTTGTACGACATTTAAAATGTAATAATCACAAGGGTAAAGTGCAACCCCCCCGCCCCGTGGACGTTATAAACAGAAATACCTAAAATGCCCTTAAAGCAAAAAAAAAAACACTTATATGCACAAATTTTATTAAGGGTATTTTAGGATATTATAAAAAAAAAAATTGTCAAAATTGGTGATCATGGGGAAATTTGCATAAATTTTCAAATGTTAAGGATTTATATGCAGATACTAAATTGCAGGGGAGTTTTTTGAACAATTTTTATATAATAGGGGTTTTTTTTTTGCACTTTACCCTAATCATAACCATGTTTTTGTGGAGGAACTAACAATTTCTCTATAAAAGTGAGACCACCAAAATCCTATGCTTAGGACATACCTAAATACGCTAGTTTTAGTTTTCGTTGTTTGCTGATGACATAGTGTTGTTAAATACTTCTAAAGAAGGCTTGGGAACAAAATTGGGAACTTGGAGAAATGCATTAGAAACATAAGGGCTAAAAATTAGTAAGACTAACACATAATATATAGAATTTAAATTTAATTTTCAGAAAGTAATAATATAACAATAGTGTTAGAATATTTTGGGTCATTTTGTAATTACATATAGTTGGTAGCGTCATTGTGTAATTAGCTGAGACCTGTACTCTATATAAGCCACTGTAGTAGGCTTAGGGTTTGATATATATGAAATACACAGAATATACATTTCTCTCTCTCTCTCTCTCTCTATCTCTCATGAATCTGAGATTGGTATCAGAGCAATATAGATTCATGGGTGTGGGAAATGACAAGAGTGTTGCCCTTGTATGAGATTGGACTAGCGATTGGAATCGCGAGTGTGTTGTTGGTGTCTTTGCCGGAAGTTCTTGTCGCCGGTACGCTTTGTTGCCCTTGTATGAGATTGGACTCGCGATTGGAATCGCGAGTGTGCTGTTGGTGTCTTTGCCGGAAGTTCTCGTCACTGGTACGCTGAGAAGATCACTCATAGTCATCATCGTCCTTCATCGCGAACCCTCTCTGCTTGGTTGTTAAATCGCCACTTGTGTTGGGTTGCCGTCGTCACCACTGCAAGGGCTAGGGTGTGTACTAGCCTTGATTCTTCATTGCGAACCTTGGGTGATTGGTGTTTATGGTCGGTGGCATAGATCTGGTTCTTGCCGGTGCTGATTGTGAAGGAGAAGAGTGGTGTTTGGCTGCAGGCGTGAAGTTATTCCAACCTTGGATTACTAAAACCGGAATAGTAGAGAACTGGTTTTGATTTGGCCCGTTTGTCCAGATCCACGCCCAGTTGCCCAGATCCGGCCCGTTTTACCCAGATCTGGCCCGTTTGCCCAGATCCGGTCAGTTGCCCAGATCCGGCCCGTTTGCCCAGATCCGGCCCGTTTGTCCAGATCCGGCCCACCTGCCCAGATCCGGATTCAGTTTTTTTTCCCCAGGTTCGGTTTTCTTCTCTGTTTGTCCTTCTCCATGGCTGCTACCAGTTCCGACCTGTTTCTTCTACTTCTTTCAATCCTCCCATGACTTCTGTCAAGCTCAATGGCAAGAACTATATTTTATGGGCCAAGTCCGTAGCTATTTTTCTAAAAGCCAAAGGCTTTGGCTCTCATTTGGTTAAGGATAAGCCTAAAGAAAGTGATGCAAATTTCAGTTCATGGGACCAAAGGGATGCTCAGATCATTTCCTTAATGCTGAATTGTATTGAACAAGATATCAGCTCCCACCTGTTGTATTTGGATACTGCCAAGGAGATATGGAATTGCCTTCAACAGCTATATTCAGGTACTGGTAATATCACCAGAATTTATAAGGTGTGCAGACAATTCTTTGACCTCCGGCAAGGTACTCATAGTCTTGCAGAATACTTCTCCCAGTCAATGGGAATTTGTGAAGAAATGAACTTGTATCAGCCTATCACCTCTGATGCAAAGAGCATGCAACAACAACGTGAGGATTTTAATGCTGTTCAGTTTCTCACGAGGTTGTCACCTGAATATGAATCAGTTCGTGCACAGATTTTAGGTAGCCCTACACTTCCCTCTCTTCCTGATATGTTCTCCAGACTCCAGCGTGCTACTCTATCTAGTGGTGCTTCTGGCAGTGCTTCAAGTGGTGTCGCTGCTCCTCCTAGCAGTGAACGTTCTGCATTAGTTGTGAACCAGGGTGGTTATCAGCCTTCTCGTGGCGATGGCGGTCGGTTTACTCATGCTCGTGGTTGTGGTCATGGTAGAGGTAGAGGTAGAGACTCAAAACTCTGCACTTACTGTGGTCTTACTAATCACACTGTCAATTACTGTTGGGATCTTCATGGAAAACCACCACCTTCTTCCTATGCACATCAAGTAACCTCTAATAAAGGGGATTCTTCTTTCTTTGCCACACCAAATGCTTCACAAGTGGCTGCTCCACAAGTGGCTGTTGAGCCTGCTATGGTCACTATAAGAGTTTCCCACGATGAGTATGCTCAGTTTATGTCTCAACAACGGCCTTCCACCTCATCTTCCATGGTTTCCTTTGCCCAATCAGGTAGTGCACCTACATGTCTCTTATCCTCTCGTCAGAGTCCCTGGATTCTTGACTCTGGCGTATCCGATCACATGACTGGTAGTTCTCATCTCTTATCTAATTTTCAGTCTGTTTCTTCATCACAAAGTGTTACTCTTGCTAATGGCTCCTCCACTAAAGTTTTGGGTGTGGGAACCACCCAACTCACGTCCTCTATGTCCCTTTCCTCTGTATTATTTATTCCTCAATTCCCTTTTAATTTGATGTCCATTAGTCAAATTACTAAATCTCTTAATTGCTCCGTTACATTTTATCCCTCGTGTTGTATTTTTCAGGATCTTAAGACGATGAAGAAGATTGGTACGGGACATGAAGTAGGTGGCTTGTATTACTTTGATATTGGGCCAACTCCCACGGCTCTTCAATCATCTTTGTCTCCTTTCCAGTGGCACTGTCGTCTCGGCCACCCATCCTTATCAATTTTGCAGCGTCAAGTCCCCAGTCTTAGTCTTAGTTGTGTTGAGTCCATGCCTTGTGAAGCATGTCAGTTTAGTAAGCATTGTCGTGTATCTTTCAAACCGAGATCTACCAATCATGTTGCTAGTCCTTTTCAGTTAATTCATTCAGATGTATGGGGCCCAATAAAACATATTTCTCTTAATGGATTTCGTTATTTTGTGACTTTTGTGGATGATCATTCTCGTATGACTTGGTTGTTTTTAATGAAAAATCGTTCTGAGTTATTCTCTATTTTTCAAATATTTCGCAAAGAAATCAAAACTCAATATGGATGTTCCATTAAAGTTTTACGTTCTGACAATGCCAAAGAATATTTCTCGGACCCGTTTGAGACTTATTTTCATGCTAAAGGCATCATTCATCAATCATCTTGTACTTATACTCCTCAACAAAATGGAGTAGCTGAACGTAAAAATCGTCATCTCCTCGAAGTATGTCGTGCCCTTTTATTCCATATGCATGTTCCCAAACGTTTTTGGAGTGATGCTGTTCTTACAGCCTGTCATCTTATTAATCGGATGCCTTCGTCAGTGTTAAAAAGGGAAGTCTCCTCATTCTGTTCTATATCCCGACTCCGCATCGTTTAATCTTACTCCTCGGGTCTTTGGATGTGTGTGTTATGTCCATAACCTTGGGCCCAGTCTTGACAAACTTGACCCCCGTGCCACTAAGTGTGTTTTTCTTGGGTACTCTCGCACTCAGAAGGGTTATCGTTGCTACAGTCCTCATTTTCAGCGCTATTTCACTAGTGCTGATGTCTCCTTTTCTGAGTCTCTCCCATTTTTTTCTAATTCTACTACCCCTCTCGATATTACTCTAGCACTACCTATGCCAACTGTTTCCTCTCTGCTTCCTGCTTCCCCACCTCCTCTCTCTGTTGTCCCCTTGCAGGTTTATACTCGACGACCTCGACTGCCTACTTCGCTCCCTCCATCTCCTTCAGAGTCTTCGGATCCGACGCCTTTACCTGATGATGTGCCCATTGCTCTCCGTAAAGGTATTCGGTTGTGTGTTACTACACATCCCATTTCTAACTTTGTCTCCTACCATAATATTTCCTCCTCTTTATCTTGTTTTTTATCCAAAATGTCTGCTACGTTTGTTCCCAAGACTTTGCAAGATGCTCTTTCTAATTCGGATTGGTGTAACGCCATGGTAGATGAAATGGATGCCCTGCACCGTATTCGGGCTTGGGATCTTGTTCTCTTACCTCCGGGCTCCAAAACGGTTGGTTGTAAGTCGGTCTATACTGTTAAATACCTTCACGATGGGTCTATTGAGCGGTTGAAGGCTCGTCTGGTGGCAAAAAGGGTACACTCAGACTTATGGTATTGACTAAGATGAGACCTTTTCTCCTGTTGCTAAGATTTCTTCTATTCGGGTACTTATTTCCATTGCTGCCAATTGTCACTGGCCTTTGTTTCAATTGAATGTCAAGAATGCCTTCTTGCATGGTGACTTAGTTGAAGAAGTTTATATGGAGCAACCACCTGGGTTTGTTGCTCAGGGGGAGTATCGTCACACTGTTTGTCGCCTTAAAAAGGCCCTGTATGGATTGAAACAATCTCCACGGGCTTGGTTTGGAAAATTCTCTGAGGCGGCATTCGAATTTGGTCTTAACAGATGCCAGACCGATCATTCGGTATTTCACCAGCGCACTAAAGCTAGCTTCATTTTTCTTGTGGTGTATGTAGATGATATTGTGATCACGGGTGAT